TCGGCTCACCGCAACCTCCGCCTCCCGGGTTCAGGCAATCTCCTGCCTCAGCCTCCTGAGTAGCTGGGATTACAGGCACACACCACCATGCCCAGCTAATTTTTTGTATTTTTAGTAGAGACGGGGTTTCACCATGTTGACCAGGATGGTCTCGATCTCTTGACCTTGTGATCCACCCGCCTCGGCCTCCCAAAGTGCTGGGATTACAGGCGTGAGCCACCGCGCCCGGCCTTAAGCAAATATTTTTCATATGTATTCTTAAATATTGTAAATGACTGTAAATATGGGTTCTATAAACAAAAAACTCATATCCAATACATGATGGCATTTAAAGTATATAATGCTTTATGGTTGTATAAGTAAGGCATTTAGGTAATTTAAAGTAATTTAAGCTATTCTGACTATATGAACTTTTTTGGAACTCAGTTCCTAAAAAGATTTTATTTTAGTCTACTAGAAAATACACAACACATAGACATGTTATATCTTTTGTTTGTTTTTGGTAATATGTTTGGAAGAACTTACTTCTTAGGCAATATATCACCAAAGTGCTACAGTACATAGAAGGGATACACTGGATTTATAGTCTGTGGTTTGTATTAAGTAACTTTAGGATATACTACTTTCACTCAGCAAATAGTGGAGAAAGCAAGGGAAAAAAAGTATTGCATGAATAAAATATTTTTCTCCTTTCTAAGCAGCAGGCTCTCAAGGGTAACATGAAGTCTACACTGTTTATAAAAGCTATATTTAATAACCTGCTTTCCTAACAATTGGTAGAACAAGCTATTCAGTTTTGTTGGAAGTAGCCAACACAGGTTGAATATCCCTTTTTGAAAATGCTTGGTAATAGAAGTACTACAGATTTTGGAATGTTTGCATTGTCCTATTGAGGATCCCAAATCTGAAAATCCAAAATCTGAGCTATTTCTATTACTAAGCATTTTCATAAAAAGACACACTTTTGCTCTGTCATCCATGCTGGAGTGCGGTGGCATGATCTCAGCTCACTGCCACCTCTGCCTCTCAGGTTTAAGCAATTCTTCTGCTTCAGCCTCCCAGGTAGCTGGGATTATAGGTCCATAGCAGCAGGCCCAGCTAATTTTTGTATTTTTAGTGTAGAGAGAAGGTTTTGCCATGCTGGCCAGACTGGTCTTGATCTGACTTCAAGTAATCCGCTCGCCTCGGCCTCCTAAAGTGCTGGGATTACAGACGTGAGCCACTGTGCCCAGCCCTGAGCATTTTTTTGAATGTCATGTTGGTGCTTAAAAAGTTTTGGATTTTGGAGCATTTCACATTTCAGATTTTTGGATTAAGGATACGCAGTCTTTAGTCTTATTTAAGATATATTTTGATTTCTTATACCAGCCTGCTATGGTAGAAACATACTCTTGAGCAATGAGAGTAGACTAATTATAAGGGAGAGTAGCTAGAGGGGAAAGCCACAAAAATTGCTATAAATGCACAAGCTGATTGATCACTTCAATTTCAAGAGGATTAGAAATAATACTTCTAGGAGAAAAAATAGTAATAAACCTAGGTTTTATTCTGACTCATTAGAAGACTTATTTCTCAGAGCTATGAAAGCCTTAGAAACTAATTTAGCTGAGTGCCCAAGGGGGTGGTAAAGCATTTGTTTTCAGGCCACAACTCAGGGGCAGAACTTGTTTTCTGAGTGCCACTTTATGCATTTCTGCCACCCTAGGTACCTTTTTTAAAAATTCAATCATAAACGACATGTATAAAGTGTGCCTACTTTGTGGTGCATTCAAGGAATACAAAGATTTAGCACAGATGGGAGTAAAATCCGTGTATTTGACAGAAATACATACATAAAAATACTAATAAAGTGGGATAGTGTGTGTTAAGTGCCATGTGAATAGTATAGGGAATACTTTTAGAGGAAGAATGCTGTAAAAAATCTGGATTGTACTGAATGAAGTATGTTAAAGTTTAAAAACATTACTGATCTGATTTTAAAGAAAAGTACTACTTTATCATTGATATAACACGTTTTCTGAGAAAATACTTATTAAATCTTTCAATCTCATTTAGGGTGTATAACAATAATATTAATGATTTACAAGTAAACAACACTGAAGAATATAAGGAAGATAGAACGTAAGAAAGAATATAGAGCATTCCTACCAAGATAATTTCAAATCAGTCATCTTAAGGCAAAGGACACCCAATTATTTTAAAATTTCTTCTAATAAAGCTTTCCCAGGCTTTCCTAAAGTCTGCATGATTGTCTTGTAATTTATGCTAATTCTCATACAAATGCCATAAATTTGGCAATATCTAAATCATGATTTAGTAGATCAATTTGTAGTTTTGTTTAAGAAGAAACTTTTTTATAGTTACTAATAATTTTTAAAAATTGAAGTCACTATTTTAAGTGAATCATTAAATAGAATTATTTATCTATTGACATTTTCATGATGTACCATTGTTAAATTATTTTATATCGCCGGGTGTGGTGGCTCTCACCTGTAATCTCAGCACTTTGGGAGGCCGAGGCGGGCGAATCACGAGGTCAAGAGACCATCCTGGCCGGGCGCGGTGGCTCACGCCTGTAATCCCAGCACTTTGGGAGGCCGAGGCGGGTGGATCACGAGGTCAAGAGATCGAGACCATCCTGGTCAACACGGTGAAACCCCGTCTCTACTAAAAAATACAAAAATTAGCTGGGCGTGGTGGCGTGCCCCTGTAGTCCCAAGTACTTGGGAGGCTGAGGCAGGAGAATTGCTTGAACCCCGGAGGCGGAGACTGCAGTGAGCTGAGATTGCGCCACTGCATTCCAGCCTGGCACCTGGCGACAGAGCAAGACTTTGTCTCAAAAAAAAAAAAAATCTTCATCATTTTTTAACCATTTTGAAGATATATTGGTGATGATATATTGGAGATATAATAAAGTCAAACCTGGCCAGGCACAGTGGCTTACCTCTGTAAAAGCTTAGCACTTGGGGGAGGCCAAAGCAGGAGGATTGCTTAAGGCCAGGAGTTCAAGACCAGCCTGGGCAACATAGCGAGACCCTTCTCTACAAAAAGTAAAAATAATAAAATAGGCTGGGTGCGGTGACTCATGCCTATAACCCAAGTGCTTTAGGAGGTTGATGCAGGAGGATTGTTTAAATCCAGGAATTTGTGGCCAGCCTGGGCAACATAGTGAGATCCTGTCTCTCCAAAAACTAAAAGTGAGCTAGGTGTGGTGGCATGTGCCTGTCGTATCAGCTACTCAGGAGACTGAGAAGTGGGAGGATCATTTGAGTCTGGGAGGTCCAGGCTGCAGTGAGTCATGTTTGGGCTGCTGTACTCCAGCCTGAGCAACAGGGTGATACCCTGTCTCAAATAAAATAATAAGTAAATAAGTGTACACACACACACACACACACGGTGCCAAACCTGCATTCAGTTACTGTCCCAGCAAATATCAAAGTGAAGGCCATCTTCAAGAAGACCAACAACAGAAAATAATTAGTATAATGATTTCATTCATTCTGGATACATCTTGTATGTGTTAGGCACCGTTCTAGTATTGAGTTTATAGTACTGGACAAAAAAAGTTTCTGTTCTCCTGGAGTTTACATTTTATTGGGGAAAGACAAAATAATGTATTAAATAATACAATTATTTTACATAGTTTTAAGTGATACAAGGAAAGGAAACATGGTAATGTGATGAAAGCAGTAGTTGTGGGTAGGAAGGGAGTGTCTAATTTAGACATACATTGTTTACAATTGAAAAGGCTTTACTTCTGTCATTAACTTAGAATATGACTATAAGCAAGTCATTTTAATATCTCAATTTCCTTAGGATCCTAATTTCTAAAATGGAAATAATCCCTAATTTAGCATTCTGAGATTAAAAAGAATATTTACAGTTGTTGGGTTCTTTTGGTGAGACAGAGTCTCACTCTGTTGAACAGGCTGGAGTGCAATGGTGCAATCAAGGCTCACCATAGCCTCAAATTCCTGGGCTCAAGTGATTCTCCCACATTGGCCTCCCAAAGTGCTGGAATTATAGGCGTGAGCCGTTGCACCCAGGCTTATAGTTGGACTTTTAAAAAAATAAAAAGTTAGCTTGGCGCAGTGGCCAGTATCATAGCCAATGAGGTTTATCCGAGGCACGATTATTGCTAATTGAAAACTTTTCCTGATACCACATCATGACAACTTGCAGTATAGTTTGACAGTCTATATGGAGACCGAATTAAAAAAATTTGGCCGGGTAAGGTGACTTATGCCGGTAATTCCAGCACTGTGGGAGGCTGAGGTGGGCACATCACTTGAAGTCAGGAGTTCAAGACCAGCTTGGCCAACATGGTGAAACCCCATTGCTGCAAAAATAAAAAATTAGTGGGCACTTGTAATCCCAGGTACTAGGGAGGCTGAGGCAGGAGAATCACTTGAACCTAGGAGGTGGAGGTGGCAGTGACCCAAGATCGTGCCACTGCACTCCAGGCTGGATGACGAACAAGACTCTGTCTCAAAAAAAAAAAACCAAATA